GTACTCGACCAGCAGCTTGTCCATCCAGGTCAGGGGCTCGGGGAACAGCATGGAGCCCTCGAAGAAGCCCAGGTGGCCCCCGTGCATCGGCAGCACGAACATGACGTTCTCCCGCTTCTCTGCAGGCGGGAGGCAGCCGTGAGTCCCCGCGCGCGGGCCGGCCGGGGGGCCCCGGGGGCAGGCCACCCACGAGGACATCCGGGCACCCGGCCTCCGCTCACGTAAGGGAACCAGGCCCCTGAGACAGTCTCAGAGAGCAGGGGACTCTGCTCTGGCCCGTGGGCATCAATGACGGAGCGCGAGGAGCCCGCCAGGCCCACCGCAGCCCCAGGACGTCCGGCTGGGCCAGGCCCACTGAGAGCACCGCCAGGTGACATCGCGGAGCAGGGACAGGCGCTGGGGCAGTCGGCTGAGCCCATGGGGGAGCGGCAGGAGAAAAACACGTACCTGAGAGAGACTTCGGAATGGTCAGGAGGCTCTCGTGTACCAGGGGGTCATCGGCGGCGTTCACCAGCATGAGGGGCACGTAAATCTGAACCAGGAAAATAAAAGGAATTGAATTCAACGGTCGCTCCCCTTCTGCAGACCCCACTGAGGGGCTCTGCACGGTCCCAGGAGCAGGCTGGTCCCGCGCTGCACGGGAGGCCGCTCTGGGATTAGCACACGGAGGCCAGGCGGGGACCCGAGTGAACGGCGGGTGGGGTCTGAGCTTCCTGTGGGGACGGCTGGGAGGGCGCCGTGACCCGGCGGGGACGCCTGGGAGGGCGCCGGGACCCCGGGGACACTGCCGTCCGGCCGCACTCACCCTGTGCAAGTACCGCATGCAGCTCTCTTCCTCATAATACTCCTTCAGGGAGTTGTAGCCATGAAACTTCCTGCGACACACGAGGGAAAAGGACGGAACAGTGCTTGTCACGAGGGGGGACGCTGCGGGGATTTCATTCCTGCCCCAGCTCCTGCACTAACCGGTCACATCAGTGGAGATACACACGCCCCAGGGGTGGGGTCCGGAGCACCGGCTTTGGCATCTGGGTTCAAATCCTGCCCCCGCCCCTGCCCCTGCCCCCTACTGGCTGTGTGACCTCAGGCAAAGGGCTTCACCTCTCTGAGCTTCTCTGTAAAACAGAGCTAAGGACAGGAGGCCGCCCGAACCGGTGCAGATCAAACTGCTACTACCCAGCACCGTCGCAACAGACAAGCTTTAGGGGGACAGCTCAAGGACAGTCCCTTTCGGGCCTCAAAAACTCCAGAAGATGAGCGGGAAACGGAAATAAGCTCGGGTCGGCGTGTCTTCTCTCGTTAGACACACCTCCACGAAGTGAGGGTGGGTAAAACTCATTCTCGCCTCCTGACATGCCACCAGGTTCCTAGCTTCTCAACAGGCATCTTTTCAAGGTCACTTGGGTAAGACAGTGACTAAGATCCCGTAAGAAAGACAAGCACGGATCCCGGACGCCCAGGTCAGTACCTGCCTATCTCTCAAGCGGACGTTAGCTGGCTTTAGACCAGGCCTAAAGGTACCAGGTGATTATTAAATAAAAACGGTGATTTCTTTTCAAAAGGGAATTAGGAGGTCAGAGGTCAACTTGACCTTCCCCAGCGAAGGCTGACCTCAGGCAGGGATGTCTTCAAGCCCCAAAGAAAAGGCTCCGTCCAGTTTTCCTGCGACACAGCCCCTCGGACTATTATTTTTTAACTTTTGATAAAGCCATACAAGGTACAAGAAATATTTCCCTTTCCTTCTACTCCACCGTAAACGCAGGTTACGGGCACCTGAGCTCTGCCCGGCGTGAAGCACACAGGCGGGGTGAGGACTGTGGAACCCGGGCGTGGGCACCCAGGCCCCGGTTCAAGCTCAGCCCGGCCACGCAGGGACACAGGGCGAGGGGGCAGATCTTCTTAGGTTCCAAGAGAAACTTGAATTTTCATTTGCTGTGAAATCTCCTGTTGTTTTTAAACACTGGACATTTATTTATCCAGAGGGGAAAATAAAGCCCGTAACACAAAGGCGCGCAAGGACACACCTCATCACGTTGTCATCGATCTGCATCAGGGACGTGGCCATGTAGAGGCGGCTCAAGTCCGAGTCCTCCAGGCTCTGGGGCTTCTTTACATGGTCTCCAAAGAGGGCTTGTCTGGAATGAGACGCGAAAGCGAGCAGAGAATGCAGGTGAGAGACCAAACAAGTCGTCACGCACGCTGGACACCGGTGATGCCCGCGGCGACGCGTCCCCCTTGTATTTACTGCGAGCTCCCGCAGGCGGGGGCCAGGGGCGCACCCCGCGGAGGCCTGTGAGCAGGAGAGAGGCAGGAGGAGCGCGGAGGCCTGACGCCACCCTCTGCCCCAGGCGCTGGGCCCCTGCCACACGGCCGCCTGGTCAGACGCCCGAGGTCCCCAGACACAGGCATCCTCGGGGGAAAGGTCCCTAGGCGACGGCCAGCCCCCCTCAGCACTGCCTGAACGTGGGGCGGGATCCAGGAGCCGTCCCTCCTCTTGGGTGTATTGGGCCTGGTGAGAGCAGCAAGCGGTCTGGGGAACCCGGGAGCTGGGGACAACAAGCCGGTCCCCAGCGGGCACCTGCGCCCCCGACGCACCTGTGCGAGAGGATGATCTTCTTCATATTGTCGGCCATGAGGAAGTTGTAAAAGCGCCGGCACTGGTCCCACTGCATGAAGGTCTCCTGGGCCCTGGACGGACAGTCGGCAGACGATGCCGTGTGAGCTTCGGGTTCTTCGGCGTTTACGCAGCTTACCAAGCGCACGCCGCCCAGCGGACCCTGCGGGCTGCACCCTGTGGCTGACCTGCCTGTAACTGCACGTCTGCACCTCCTAGGCCCCCCTTCACCGTTTTCGCTCCCCCCCCCAGCAACCATCAGTTTAGGTTCTCAGCCGCGTAAACCTTCAGGGCCTCAGTCCAACGCCTAGTTCACCGGATGCGCGGGCTCGGCGCTCTTGCCAACAGCAGGTGGCGCTGCTGCGGCGAAACGGAAAAAGGCCACTGTGGTTTGCGATTTCGTTCCTTGGAAAGGACGCGAGAAGAAATGTCCGACATCCGCCTGCCTAGCAAACCCAGCGCTCTCTCAACACAAGGTCGCTGTTCACGGGACTCTCGGGGCACTGGGCTCCGGAAGGGGCTCTACAGGTTCCAGTTTTACGGACGACCGACGGCTCGATGGAAACCGAAACCCGGACCACGCGTCAGGTGACAGCAGGCGAGGTCCTCAGGCCCCCCAGGCCCTGCTCCCTTGAGCCCTGCGGCAGGCCCGTTGCTCCCCTGTCGTCCGTCTCAGGGGACTGGGCAGATGGGACTCTGGTTAACTCTGGTTATATGATGGCCTTGACCTGGGGGCTGAATACCTCTGGTCAAGCCCTCCAGGGAGCAGAGAGGAGCGAGGGGGGGGGGTTAGTGCAGGAGGACCAGGGACTGACCTAGTCCTGCCACGGAGCTGGAGAGACCACTGAGGTCCCCGGGCCCAGGGACCGCTAAACATGGTTAAAATATCAGACGTCACTGTGAAATGTGTGCAAATGCAGGTCCCTAGCCATACGCCCCGGATTCATGAATCAGAACCTCCGGGGGTGGGGCCCGCGAAACTGAATTTCTTTCTAACACAATCCTCCAAGTAACTGTTAACGAAGTGAGACAGTCACTAGTCCACCAGACTGGTCTTTGTCACCCACTGATCTAACCCATTCACAGTGAATGATGATGGTGATTGTCACTGACGCACTTTCTGATCGGGAATAGCCCTCAGAAATACAAAAGACACCCTAACGGAGAGGGAACAACGTGAATGCCTTGGAAGAGTTTGCAGAGGGGGGGGTGTGGTGACTCGAGAGGTCGGGGACAACACCGATCGCCGGGACTCAGAGCAGACAGCAATCCCTCCCCAGGGCTCATCCTTGGGGGCTCTGCTGGCAGGAGACTAAGGGGCGAGATCAACATTCACCCGGCAGGTCATCTCCTTTGTGAGAGATGAATATTTGAAGGGAGGGCACAGATTAAATGACTGCTACGGATCCTCCCAGGTGCCACCTGCGACTCGACTCCTAGGGGGGCAGGAGGGATCTGGGATCCTACCGCCCAGCTGTCAGACGCTGGCTGGCCTGGCTCCCGTGTCCTTTCATAACCTGGTCGTACAAAACTCCTGGAGCACAGACAGACGCCTTTCCACAAGGACTCCACAGGGAGACCGCAGCTCTCGGGGGACGCTGGCTTATTTGGCTACAGATCTGCATATCCCAGGCTTAAGGGGTCTGACAGGGCAACTGCCGTGTGCGATGTGGAAGCAAATGACCCACTGGGGCGTCTCGACAGACAGGCGCCAACGGGAGGACCCGACGGGAGACAGAAGCGGGGGCGCGGGAGGGGGCACTCACCTCAGCGCGCTGTACCCCTGGCACACGCTGACGCAGCACAGGACCTTGTCCTGGTTCGCCTGTCTCTCCCCCAAGTATTTGCACACGATGTTGCCGCCCAGGCTGAAGCCCACGACGACCAGCTGGGTCAGGGGGTAGGTCTTCTTGATGTAGTTGACCATGGCTCCGAATTCCCAGGTGCAGCCTGTGGGCAGGGAGGACACGCCATCACGTCGGGGGCGACAAGGACTGGGGAGGACGTGAGCTGCAGGGTTACTAGACGGGAGCCAAGATATTAAGAGAGAGAGAGCGAGAGCCCGGGCGGTGTGGCTCAGCGGTTCGATTCCTGGTCAGGGCCCAGGCCCTCACCCTGACTGGGAATCACACCCAGGACCTGCCGGTGCACGGGGCACCGCTCCACCCAACCGAGCCACACGGGAGGGCGATTTCTTCATAGAAGCCTTCCTCCCTCACCATCTGACTCCTTCTAGACACGTCTCTCTTTCCTCGGGGTGCAGACTAATTATCTGAGACCTAGAGCAGATGTTCCGATGTCACTGGGCAGGTATAGGCCTCGGATTCGCCGCACTGCTGAGGAGCAATTACAGCTAATTGTGTTGGCACCTTGGGAGCCTCCATGTAATTAAGTGCAAACACGTCCGATCTGCATGAAGGGCCAGCCCTGCTTAGTGCCCGACAAGCTGCTGGGTGTTTTCTGAAGAGCTGCCATCTCTCCCCGGCAAGGGACAGGCAAGGACATGGTGTGTGCCCGGCTCCGGTGCCAGCCTTCTGGTAGGTAGGTGCTGGGTCCTCCTGGGATCTCGTCCGGATGTCGGTCCCCGACCCCCTCCGCGCCTGAGAGCCCCTTCCTGGCTCCAGCAATCTGCTTTAACACTAGGAGGGTTCTATGAGGTTCTGCGTATCTAATCCCCACGGCATTAGCACCAGTAACAGGATTTGGGTCTCTAATCTCGCTGCAGCTTTTTAAAGCCAAGATGAAACAGGAGACGCTAACGTGGCCTCAGAGAGGCGAGGACTGCATCTCGGAAAGGCCGCCTGCTGGGAACAGGACGGTCCTTTCTCCTCAGGCTCCCACCCTAAGCAAAGGCAAAGCTAAGGCTGCCCAGGGCCACTGTTTCCAGCGTCACCAACGTGACTAAGCAGGTTAAATACGGGGGCCTGGGGATGGGCTGTCCCTTGGGGCTGGAGACGCTGAGTCACCGCTGTGCCCCGCACACCAGGCCGGGGCCTGCACCGGCGGGTGTGTCACCGGTGTCGGCCGGTAAGGAGTCTGCATCAGGTGGGGGGAGGGCACCCCGAGGCCTCAGCGTGTGACTGCATTTGGAGAAAGGGCCTTGCAGGAGATGATTACGTTAAAACGGGGTTGTCAGGGTGGCCTCTGATGCAATATGCCTGGTGTCTTTGTATGACCTCCCCCTGTGAGTTTCAGGTTCCTCCCATGTGAGGGGGGGGTGCAGGACCCGTCTGTGGGCCCCCAGCCACCCACAGATGAGCAGAAATTTCACACTGAGACCAGAAAGTCACTGTCACCCGCAGTGAGGACAGAAGCAGGGAGACCCCAGGCGGCCGTGCGCCCCGCCTACCGTAGGTGAACATGCGGGGCGAGGTGAGCTCGATGTTGGGCAGGGCGCCCAGGTGGTTGAGCACGGCGCAGCGGTAGCCGTTCTTCTGGGCATAGTCCACGAAGGTGCGGATGTACTGCTTCTCGCTGTGATTGGCGATTCCGGGGCAGATGACCATGGTGATGTCATCTGCGGGGCGGAGAGAGAGACCCCGGCGTGTCCCGTGAACAGCGACACAGTGAACGGACACAGGCAGCCTGGCCGGTGTTACTACTGACCAACCGTGAACGTGACGTTTCTGACAACTTTCAGACTTCTAGTGACACGGGAAAATACTTTATTTATGACGTAATAGCTAATAATTCAGATGTTGGAAAAACAATGTGTAGAACAGGAAGAAATGGAACGAAATGCTAATGGTATTATGCTGGGTGGTGGGATTATAGGTGATTCTTGTTTCCTTTCAAAAATGTTTCTGTAGTATCTAAATTTTCTACAATGAGTGTTTATTCCTTTCGTAGATATAAGTCAGAAAAAAAATCATAAAAGGGAAGACAGGTTGTTTTCCTTAGAGCGCTTCTTGGATGCGAACCCTCCCTCCCCCAGACCCACCGTCATCAACCCTTTCTGGGGACACGGGTCATAGAGTGAGAAAGACAAAGAATCTCAGTTTTTCCCTTTCAACTTCCCACCCCGTCCTGGTGGGAAAAGAGCGGTCTGGCTAAATTACATTCTGTGCTTTCATTTTAAAAGTATGAGTATTAGAAACAAGAGAAAAACACACACGTAACTGGGTACGGCACAGACATAAATATTTGAAAGATCAGCTACGAGACTGATAAACACAATGTGAGCTCCTAGCCTATCATTTATTCGTTCCTCCTGTGCCTGTTTACTGGGAACCTGCCGTCGGGACTCTGGGGAGTCCTACTTTCCAGCAGACAGACAATAAACAGCTACACGAATAAATCTAGAGAGCGGCGGGTCCCCTCGAGCACCGACGCTGGAAGGCCTGATGGATTTACAGGGAGGGAAACGCGCGTCAGGGAAGGCGGGGAACGTCCTCTGGGGAGGTGACATGGGGGCTGAGGCCTGAATGACAACAGGGGGCAGCCATGAGAAAGTCTGGGGAGGGGCCCCAGACAGACTGGACATAAATTAACCTTGGTCACTAGCTACTCAGCAGTTCTATTACTTTAAGTGACTGAGACTTATATGTTTACTGGAATCTACCCATAAATATCGACTGAGCTCCTATAAAAAACCCACGTGCCTCTGCACACTAAGAAATCAAACTCAGGCTCTCTCCGGGCGGGAGCGGCACGTGGAAGGGGCTGAGTCTAACTCCACTCCCTCCAAGTCCTCACTCTGAAGTGTTTTACGAGCGTCTGTTGTGCAGGCTGCACCGATCAATGGGAATGAGAGGTGCTTCTGAGAAACAGGTGCCCCGGATCCCCGCCTGATAAACATGATGTTAACGTGTCATTTTGTGCATGGGAACCTCAGCAGAGGGTGCCCGAGGGCCTTCGTTATCTGCTTGTTACCCAACAAACACACCCAGCCTACGCTGCATCCCTAATTCAGCTCCTTCAGTAACGTGACGAGGGGTAGACGAGGTGGTTATACACGTAAAGCAAGTAGAACAGTCTGGCTTCTGTTGTGTCCTCAAACCAGAGGCCTGGAACTAGGGGGCCTGGGCTCCGAGTTCTCCCGCATCCCTCACCCCAAGCTTCTGTCTCTCACAGGACAATTAAAAACGGTATTGGACAATGCCTTTAGGCTGCACACGGTGACTGGAGAGCTCAGGGTGCACCTCATCCCTGCCAGTTGCTCCTAAGTGAGGTATCTCAGCAGACTTCCCACCCGGCCCTGGATACAACGCACAGATGGATGGTAAGAGTCGGTAGCAAGAGCGTGCACCCAGTGCTCCCTCGCTGCCTAGTGCTCCTTCTCGGAGTCACGGCCCAATCCTACGCCCTAACCTCGCTCACCTCCAACACAGTGCTCAGCCAAGGGCTCGAAGAGGTCGAAGGTGGAAGTGGCCCCGTCGGACATGGTGATGAACTTCCGGTGCCCATACGGGTGTGGCGACCTCACCCTTCCCATCTTCCCGTACAAGGCTGTTTGGATGTGTCCACTTTTCCCCCAGATCAAGGGCGGAATGTATCTAAGAAAGAAGGAGACGAGAGGTCAATCTTCTCCACATTCCTTGAAGAATGCTCTAAAAACCCTCTGAGCAAAAGACTTACAGCTATTTAAGATTTTTTTTTCCTGACAAATTCTGTACACTAAACATAAATGAGATATTTTTTAAACCTTACATCCATGCCACAACTTACCCTCTTTCCCATTTATTAATACATCCTGCATCAACTTAGCTTTAGAAACCAACCAGGATATGCTTACAGGGACAGAATTTCAAATTTAGGGTGTTTGGTAACTCAACACAGGTTATTTCCATACGTAGAATAAAAAGGAAGTAATACGTTCTAAACACATGTTACACGACGGGGCCAGTCTCATTATCAAATGAGCTCATGTACACAGAACAGCACAGAACCTACACTCACCAAATGCTCACTTCTTTGCCTTCCCCAATATTTCCTTCTGTGACTCCTACAGTCTTTAAAAATGGATTGCCCTTAAATCTGCGTATTGTTTACAAATGAGTAAATGTACTTTTTCCTAACAGCCAATTGTCCTTCCACTGTAAATGGCCCATCCTTTCACTACTGATTTCAACTGTCACTTCAAATATGTACCAAGTTTCCAATGACATATTTAGACTTGTTCCTACATTCTCTGTTCTGGTCCTTCAATCTTTTTGTCTGTTCTTATGTTTCATCACCACAGCTCTTTGGAACATTTCGAGAGTTGACAGAGCAGGCCTCCTCCGCTCTCCTCTTTGAACATTTCTTGGCAGGTTTCTGGCATTTTATTTTCCGGATGCACTCTAGGGGCAGCTCGGTCTGTGAAAATCCTGGGGGTTTTCATCGGAAACAACAGCACACACATTTTACCTTGGGGAAAACCGGCATCTGTACAATTGTGACTTGTCCCATTCAAGAGCACAGCGCGTCTCTCCATTCCTTGGGTATTTACGTCCTACCGTAAAACTTTACAGCTTGCTGCATGTCAATGATCAGTTTTTACTACACTCATTGGCATGTGCTTCTACATGCACCTTTTTTTTTTTAAAGCTATTTTTAGAGTTAGCATCTGGGCTTGTTTATCCCTAACTCCCTGAAAGCAGAGAGAGGCGGTGTCTTCTTGTTTACTCATCATATGGGGCTTTGTGTGATGTTGTGCTGTGGCCGGTGGTTAGTAGACGCTTGTCACTAAGAAAGTAGCTTGACCACAGCACAGTGGAGAGGCCAGCCTGTCCCTATCTTCGGAACCTACTTGTAATTGACATCTGGCTGTGCCAACAGAAAGCTGAGCTCAAGGCCCTCGTGTGTGTGTGTGTGTGTGTGTGTGTGTGTGTGTACACATGTGTGTGTGTGCACAAGCTTCTGTGCATACAGGGGAGGCGAGGAAGCAGGGATGGGGCAAAGCCCTTTAGAATTTAGCAGAACATTTTGTAGATACTTTTTTAAAAAATATGTTTTTATTGATTTCAACTGCCTCCCGCACGCCCCCTGCTGGGGATCAAGGAGCCGGCAACTTGGGCACGTGCCCTGACCGGGAATCGAACCACGACCTCCTGGTTCCTGGGTTGATGCCCAACCACTGAGCCCCGCCAGCCGGGCCATTTTGTAGATCTTTATCCTGAATCCTGATCTGCCTCCCCTCCCCTTCATGGGCCTCAAACTCAGGACTCTTGCTGCTCCCACCACAGACCCCTGTGGCTCCCTTAGAGGCCTCTCTGCCCCCATCCAGCCCGACTGACCTGAAGCCAGCGTGTCTTTTGTGAGCCCACCCCACTGGGCTCCCCCTTCCACTAGGCTACAGCCCCCTGGAAGGCCCTTCTTCTCAGGAGGCCCGATGGGGAGTGGACCCTGCATCCCGTCACCCCAGTCCTGCTGGGGCAAGACTGAGGCTGGGAAATGGCTTCATCATCAAGTTCAGAAACAAACATCTTGGGTCTTTTATCTCAACTGGCAAGTGGCGTATTGAACTTCTAAAAGACTTACTAACAGGCTCATCACAAATACTCTGTGGTCACGGCATTTCCCCCCGGAGGCTAACACTTCCTCGTCTCACATTGCATTTCACTGCTGTTGCTGGATGCTCTGTGCCCGAATTCCAGGCTTCTGCACAGGAAAATTCCAGTGCAGAGGCTGGCTTGTTTTTGCCCGAAATGACCAAAAGTGGCCATATGACAAAGAGAGAAAACATCTGTTCCTGTAACTGGTTTCTAAACACTGGACAGAGGCCATGGGGGCGGCTGGCACCTCCACGACCTGTGGTGTGAGCTACAAAGCCCAAATGTTAGAGAGAATGGACACACAACTGAGTTACAATAAAACGGCTTAAAAAAAAAAAAAGCCACACTCTTTCCCTCCAAGGAAAAATAAACTCCATGTTAAAGTTCAGAGGGCACCCGTTAAAACGTCTCAGGATTATGTTTGTGTGTTAAATACATCTGATCCCTTTCTCTCCCTGTTCTACAAACAGTGGTCAGGACTGGTTGGCCTCCTCCCCACACAGACGGAAGCAGAGCCCTCTCTCCACCCCCTTCTGTCCCAGCCTGGTTTTGACACTATGCTTTATATGGGCTTGGAGTTTACAAAAAGGCTCCAGGGCTTACCCCACAAAGGCCATGCACTGGAGAGCTAGTCCTGCGGAGAGCCAGTCTGGACAGCACACACAGGGATGTCAACAGTCTGCCCTTCGGCCAACCCGGGACTGCCTTTCCATCGCTTCTCAGCCCAAGACCACCTCAAAAATCTCTGCATAGGGGCCGGGAGGAGGGAAGATGAGCGCTGAAGGCTCACGTCTCTGCTACTGTTCCTGGTGGGGGGAGCTGGAGTAGCTTGCTGTGGGGTCCCCGCACTACCTACAAAGATGCCCTTCAGGACTCTGTAATCAAGACATGGCTGTGAGAATTGAGACCTGACATTCAACACATGTCTTTCTCTGATGTGCAGAAAAGAATTCAGAAAATGGCAAGCAATGACGCTAGAAAAATGATGGGTTCTTAGAATATTTAATTAAAAATATGCTTCTTTTGTTTGTCGGGGGGGCACTAGCACTCCAGCCCCACTGTCCATAGTAAAACATATCAAAAAGCTACAAATATGCTAATAGCATAACCATTCGGGATGGTCAACACACCAGAACGGACTGAAATATGAGTAAACACATCCTGACATTTAGTACGAGAAAAAAAGAGCATTTCAACAAGCTGGGGAGCCACGGGCTGTCCAATAAAGGATGCTGGGCAAAGGGTAGCACCTAGAAAAGTATTAAGTTGGAGCCACACTGTGCACCAGGATAAATTCCAGAGGATCAAACATTTCAACATAGAAAACGAAACCATAAATGTGCTAGAAGAAACTGTAGATTTTTTTCACAACCGTACCAGGAAGAAGACCTTTCTGAAGAAAACAGACATCCTAGGAGCCATAAAGGAAAGAATCGAGAGGTTTGACTATGCAAACATTCAAAAATTCTGCATGGCAAATGCCACCGTGGGCAAGGCCACAGGACAAAGGACACACCAAGAACAAAAATTTGCAACTCATGACACAAAAGGCTGATTTCCCTAGTGCTCAGATGATTAGGAAGAAGACCAGTGGCCACCAGAAGAATGGGCAGGGGTCACAAAACAGGAAATAAAAGCAATTCTTGCCCGGCCGGGCGTGGCTCAGCGGTTGAGCATCGACCCAGGATCCAGGAGATGGCGGTTCGATTCCCGGTCAGGGCACAGGCCGGGGTGCGGGCTCCTCGATCCCCAGCAAGGGGCGTGCAGGAGGCAGCCGATCAATGACTCTCTGTCATCACTGATGTTTCTCTCTCTCTCCCCCTTAAAAAAAAAACCAAACAGTAGTTCTTAACTGTAAACAAGAGGCTCAAGCCTCTTTCACAAGAGACACATTAAAGCACAGTGAGAAAAAAATATTTACCCACCCGATTGGCAAATATCAACAAGCAGGAGTGCCTCTCTGTTGGCAAGGTTTCGGGGAAACAGACACTCCTTTGGGGCCTGTGGGACAGCCTGAGGGCACCAGGTAACACAGTTTCTCACGCACACAACCTCTGACCCCACAGTCCCACCTCCAGTCCACCCTACACGGGCGCGCATGATGTAATTACAAAACTATCGACGGCAGCGTTGGGAAGCAAAAGGTTAGAAATAAATCAACCCCCCACCTAGGAAACCGGTCACACAAATGACGGTCCAACTGAGCGGCCAGGGCACGCATGGGGGAAGCTCTTCCTACACTCTGTGGAAACCAGTGATATTCCAGGAGAAGAGGCACGGGGCAGGGCGGGAGAGCACACAGCTTACTGCTGTTCCTGCAATAAAGGAACAGAAGTGTGTGTGTGTAACCGCTGCTTTTGCAATCAGACTGGAAACATTACTTGAAGGGAACTGGACAGTGGCTGGGGGAGTGTTTTAATGTAAATGTATGCCCTGTTTTTTTAAAAATAAACATAAGCCCGGCTGGTGTGGCTCAGCGGTTGAGCATTGACCTAGGTAGGATCCAGGAGATTGCGGTTCGATTCCCGGGCAGGGCACAGGCCGGCGTGCGGGCTCCTCGATCCCCAGCAGGGGGCGAGCAGGAGGCAGCCGATCCATGACTCTCATCATTGATGTTTCTCTCTCTCTCTCTCCCCCTCCCTTCCTCTCTGAAATCAATAAAAATATATTAAAATAAAAAAATAAACATAAGCTCTGACGGGGTTAAGGGAGCTTACGATAGGCACAACTATTACGTATCTACTCTGATAAACACAGGCGCCCACCGACGGCAGGCTGTATCACAACCTGGAGCTAGAGAGCTCCGGGGACGCACGGCCACCACTTGTTGAGCCTCGAGCAGAAATGCAAGAGGAAGGAAATGCTGCAGCTGCCCCAGAGCCGCCACAGTTCCAAGAAGCTGAAAGGAGCTGCTGTTGGCGGCTGCGGTTGAGCCCCGCCGAGCCGGCGGCCCTCTCCTGTGGCATGAGAACACAGAAAAATATTTCCTCAAACAGTCAACAGCCCTGCCCTTGTGGAAA